GGGTGCACTGCTGCAGATAGGATCCCCAGAGCCAGAGGCACGGGGCAGGAATCGCAGGTGTCTTGGTCAGCACAGGCCGGCTGTATCCGGATTTCCTTCCGTGCACAGGTGTGCTGCCCCACGGTGGGGGAGGGGAGGGAGCAAGGGATGTTCACACCCACCGAGGCTGGGCTGTCACTCACTTCTTTTTGCCTCTGAGCTTCTCCTATTTCGGGCCTAACCCAGAACTTACAACAGCTCCCCTGGCCCACACATGATTGTTACGAGGTGCAGAGGAAGGAGCCTGTGAAACCCCTTCGTTGAACATTAAAAAGGGCAGGAATTTAGAGAGTCGTCGTCATAAACAGCGTTTCCTATGGTGTAGGGGTCACAGGCAGGGCACAGCCCACTGGGGGCTTCCTCCTGCTCCTGTCCCCGCTAAGAACCTGCTTTCTCTCTCTCTCTCCTGCTGGGTGCACTTGCTGAGACCTACATGGCTCCCAGGGTGTCAGTTTCAGGATCAAAGCCTGACCTCCGAGATACCAGAAGACGGGATCATGCCATCAAACGGCCCCGCAGCCTCTGACACCCCTGGAGTTCGGATCCTGACCGTGAGGGTCTTAGGTGGTCACATACAGCCCTTCTAGAAGCAGCCGCTCTGAACTTAGGTCTACGTGAGGATGAGGCGATTAAGAGCCTCCTTTTTTTTTATTTAAACAACTTTTATTAAAGTTATCACATGCCCTAGCCGGTTTGGCTCAGTGGATAGAGCATCAGCCTGCGGACTGAAAGGTCCCAGGTTCGATTCTGGTTAAGGGCATGTGCCTCGGTTGCAGGCTGCGAGCCAATCCCCAGTAAAGGCCGTGCAGGCGGCAGCCAATCGATGATGTTCCTCTCCCGTCGATGTTTCTATTTCTCTATCCCTCTCCCTTCCCCTCTCTCTAAAAAATAAACAAATAGAAGCATTTTTAAAAAAAGTTATCACAGACTTCTTGACATACAAGAAAAATACATTCTTGAAAGCTACATATCTCAAGTGCAACTTTCTCTTTAAAGAAAAAATAATAATAATAAAGGGACATTAAGGACTTTAGTTATACTCACTCGGCACTGTCGATACTATGTCAGGCCACAAGCACACCGTCCCCATGCCGCTCACCTGCAAGCCGAGTGGGGGAGTTGAGGCAGGAGAAAGCTGGGAAGGGGTGGCCGGCTCTGAGAGCGCACAGCATTAAATGCACAAATGGATACTTCCATCCGTTAAACAAAAAACAAACAGGAAAACCCTTTGCCCATTTTGTGCTCACTCTTGCCAACAGCGATACACAGCTCCAGCACAGTAGGTCTGCTTGTGGGGAACAGGAGCAGCCTACAGGAAAATAAAGTCATGCATATGGGGCTTTTGTCCGGACAGTGTTAATCCTGTGCCAGGAGCTATTGCATATGGTAAATATGTTTTCCTATGTTTGAAAAGAAACCTGAAAGAGCTTTCACCTTAAGTTTGCTATGGTCCCCCCCATCGTCTTCAGTGTTGCCCCTAAACCACAAGTGGCTAATGGAACAGAAGCGACCTTTGCAGGGTCAGAGCACAAAAGCCGCCATGGAAACCACAGGAAAGGGGGGATGCTGTGCACCGCCCTCGCCCTGGAGGCTCAGTCTGGACGCTCAGCACCTGGCAGTGCCCGCCAGGTGGGCGAGTGTCCGTCACAACAGGCGGGAGCATTCCAAATGTGGTTCTCTTTTGTTACAAAACACAATGCCTGATGGAAAGTGGGTGGATGGCAAATGCATGTAAACCTATCAGAAGAGCCTGCGAAGATGTTTCTTTTAATTTATCGTTATTGTTGAAAGTATTACACGTCCCCCTTTTCTCCCCCGGTAACCCCCCTCCTTCCCACTCCCACCCCCTTCCCAGGCCTTTACCACACTATTGTCTGTGTCCATGAGTTCCTGCAGGAAATATTTTGGAGTATATACCCTCTTTTTTTTTTTTTTTGCATGTTTCCTTTTCATCTCTTGTCATGCGTAATTTGTTTAAAAAATATTTGTATTGATTTTTAGAGTGAGAGAAAGGGAGAGGGAAAAAAAGAAACATCAATGCAATACTGAACATCAGTTGGCTGCCTCCTGCATGCCCCCTGCAGGAGATCAAGTCTGCAACCTGGGCATGTTCCCTAACCGGGAATCAAACCGGCAACCTTTCGGTGCCCGGGATGATGCCCAGCCAACTAAGCCAGGCTTTGCAAAAGCGATATCACGTGTCTACATAATCACACTTTACAGCAAACACACTGTTACATCCGTACCCCAGTTATTCTTTCCTTCATGTTGCATTTAATAGGATTTTTCCATGGTGATACATAGACTCTGTCACCGTCATTTTTAATGGCTCAGTAATATTTTATTGACGAAATATGCCCACACTTATTAGAATGACATTTAGGCTGCTTTCCATTTATCCCCCACTTATAAGTAATGCGGAAAGGAAAGTATTCGTGCTGCGTATAACGTCTTCATATTTTAAGTTAATCCCTTGGGATAGACTCAGGAAGTGGAATTACTGGGTGAAGGAATGTGTAAAGCGTCTATGACTTGGTACAAATGACTAAATTGCTTTCCAAAAGGACAGTAACAATTTACACCTCCAGCAGTAGTGTGCTCTCATACCCACACTGTGTTCTGTAGCTCTTAATGGCCAATTTAGTAGCTAACAGACGTTGATTTTATTTTTGCATTTCTTTGATTAATAATGAGGTTGAAATTTTTCCAAGTTTGTTGGAGATTCGTATATCTGTTTATTTTACTGTTGCAGACGGTTTGGGCTTTTCCATTTGTATGCAGCCTTTACCCAGTATTGATATTTAATCTTCATCATAATTCTGCAACTATTTTGTTTGTCCTTTAAATTTTTTTTTTGAAGTGTTGCGCAAAGTGTTTTTCTTTCAAGAAACTGATACTGATTCGTTGGTGGTTTTGTTTATTTTGTTGGCTCCATAAAAAAAAATCAAGATATCTTGTCGGTTCCGTTTGAGAAAGAAAGTGTACAGCACGGGATGATGAAAAAGGCATCAGATTGAGGGCTTTGAAAGCAGGCAAAGCCAGCTTCCAGTCCCCGCCCAGGAGGCCCTGGCTGAGCACAGCAGTCAGCTCTCTGAGCCTCACTGTTTTCCTTTACGCCATGGAAATCATGACCCACCTTCCAGGTATGGGACTGGGATCGTGAATAAACAGTGGCCTAGCGGGTGCCCAGTGAGCATGGGCACTCCTTGCCCTCCAGATCCTAGGCTGCCCCCGGTGGCCGGGTGGCCGGTTAGAAGGAACAAGCCACAGTGCTCACCCCAGGCTGCCCGAGGCGAGGCGTGCCCAGCACCCTGGGGCTGGCTGTTTCCTTCCAGGCAGGAGGCCCCGGGACACAGCAGCGGCTCTGCTTCTTGCCAGTCGCTGGGAACAGTGGGGTTGTTGTTCTGGCGTATCTGGTAACCAGCTTCCTGTTTTTCCTGGTGGGGTGTTGTTCTTTCAAGCAGCAGAAGGGGGGCGGGGACATAGTCCTGGGTGGGTAACCTCAGTTCTGTGATCCCTCCTGCAGCGAGAAAGCCCGGCCCTTTCCACCAGGGACTCTGTGATCAGGATCTTGGGCTCTGTGACCTTGAGCAGAGCCGTGACGACGGCAAGTCCCACGGGTGGTCAGGAATGAAGGAAGGGACGGGGGGAGTCACCATGACTTGGAATTCAGGCTTGTGGTGCCCCTGAACTGACGCTAATGGATTCTAAACGTATGCTGATTAGACATTAAACTTCCATTTCCCACAAAGTGAGTGCATCACACCTCCCCATTCTCTTCACATTCTGGGAAGCAGGGCTGAGGCGAGCCAGACTGCTGAGATTCCAGTTGCAGCTCCCTTAGTAGCGGTGTGACTCTGGGCAAGAGGCTTACCCTGTCTAGGCTGCAGTTTCCTCCTCCGTACACTGGGAGGATCATAGTCAGTACTGCCCTGGCCAGTGTGGCTTGATAGAGTGTTGGCCTGCACACCAAAGGGTCACGGGTTCGATTCCCCATCCAGGGCATGTTACCTGGGTTGCAGGTTCAATCCCCGGCCCAGATTGGGGCACGCATCGGAGGTAACCAATCAATGCATCGCTCTCATATCAATGTTTCCCTCTCTTTCTCTCTCTCTCTCCTGCTCTCTTTCCCGCCCTCCCTTCCACTCTCTCTAAAAATCAATGGAAAAAATATACTCCAGAGAAGATTAACACACACACACACACACACACACACACAAATAGTAAGTACCTATTAGGATTGTCGTGAGGTTTAAATGAGGTCTGATGAGTAAGGTACTAAAAATTCTAGGCCACATAGTAACCATATGATAGTTAGCATAAGATCTTAAGACTTTACTTGAAGTACTCCACTTGAATCTGTGGTACTCAGAGGCTGGCCTGCATTTTAGTCAGAGAGCTAGAATTCCGTTTGAAGGTGATTTGGTGAAATAGCTCAGCTCATTACAACTAGGTGGTGTTTATGAAGAATGTGCATCGAGAATATACTGTAGTAGATCTATTCCTAAAAAAATTCATTGCAAAATGTAATCTTTTCTTTTCATTGGCTTTGTTTTTTAGCATTCGGGGCTGTATTCCCATGAAAGAGTTTGCTTGCTGCTGAAATAGGTGTCCCTTTGTCCCAGGGAAACACACGGAGGCTGAATGACTCCACAGAGTGAGGTGTGAGCTCACCACATGTGCACGTGGGCCGTGATGTCTGGGGGAGGCGAGCCTGGGCAGGGGAGCCGGTGGGTTACAGCTCTTCGCAGGCTCAGTGGTTGCAGGGTCGGGGCCCCTGCCCTGCCTGCGTGCACAGGGCTTTGTGAGATGATGGTGTCGTCCCGTCGCTTCTGAGGGGGCTGGACAGGTGCAGAGCTCGGTGAGCACGTGGGTCCTCTGGGTCACTGATCGCCTTCTTTCCAAACAGCTGACCACAGGGGACTGACGCGGCTTATTGCTGGACTCAGGAAATCAAAGCCAAGGGTGAGCCCTCGATGAGGTTTAGGTGGCGGCTGCATTCCCTCCTCTGCAGTGTGCCTTGCCGAGGTGACTGAACACGAAGAGCTTTACAAATCGAGGGGGCTCACAAACTTTTGGTGACACTTTGCAGTGTAAACTCTGAGCCTCGGCTGCAGGGTGATGACCTCCCTTTTGTTACTCACCCAGAACCGGGAGTGAATTCAGAGAAGGGCCAGCGAGATCCGGGAGGGCAGACCCTGAACAGTGAGGCCTTCATCGGGAGTGCAGATTAGCTGTTGCTGGGTCCAGCGAACATTCAATGAGAAGAAGCTTTGACAAATAACAGGAAAAAATAATGTTGGAGAAAATGTTTTTTTAAAATCAGATTGCCAAAGCAGATGCAGATGCTCTTAGTGGGAAGGGCAAGAAGAGGGTTAGCAGCAAGAATCCGGAAACTGCCCCGGCCAGGTGTGGCTCAGTGGTTGAGCGTTGACCTATGAACCAGGAGGTCACGGTTCGATTCCCGGTCATTACACATGCCCAGGTTGCAGGCTTGATCCCCGGTGGAGAGCGTGCAGGAGGCAAGCTGATCAATGATTCTCTCTCATCATTGATGTTTCTCTCTCTCTCACTCTCTCTCTTTCTCTCTGAAATCAATAAAAATATATATTTTTTTAAAAAAATCAGGAAATGGTCCAAACACCAGGAAGGCAGGGATAGCCCTTTCGGCAGCCAGAGGACAGAGCAGGATTCTTAGACGCTTACACATCAAAAACTATCATTTGGAGAACCTCTTCAGTTAATGAGTTGAGTATATTCATCGGTGATTTTAAAAGCACCTTAGTTTATGGTGTCTTAGGGGTGGGGGTACTTAACACACTCCCCCTCGGTAGGGTCCCGAAGTCACATGACTGTCCCAGCAGGAAAGGCCAGCTCCTTCCTGCGGTCAGCCCTGGCCACTCCTCCCTTCCTGGCAGGTGTTTTCAGGCCTAAAGTATAAGCTCTAAAATAGGGCTTTGTTGTACCCACCCTCTTGGTGGTTTTGAAATAGTTCCATTATAGGCTGTTTTGGTATTAGAAGTCTCTGAGTAAGGTGGCCCCACAGTCAAGCGCAAGTTGACTACACAAGGCAGAGCCCCCCACCCCCCCACTCCTCCATGTTCAGGTTGGGAAGAAGGGAAAAGATACTAGCCGAGGTCAGGGTTGGGGTGGTGGTGGGGTGTGTGTGTGTGTGTGTGTGTGTGTGTGTATGTGATGATGGGGCTTTGGGAAGAGTCCGGTCTTTCATAGAAGGCAGAAATGTATTAGGAATCCAATGATCATTTCAAAGCAAGCCTAATCCTGTAAACAAGGGGACATTAACTACAGGATTTGTGAGCGAGCCTGGTAAATTAGTAACTCCCCCATTCCACAAATATTTATTAAACATTAACCACGCAGGAGGCACTGTGATAAACCCTCACAAGTCCAGCTTGCTACTTCCATTATCCCGTCTTCATCATTAGTGCATCGCCCCAACCCCTGCCCCAGTGTATTTCCAATAATGGCTTTCACTTTTCAAATGCTTGCTCTGAGTGAGACTCTGTCCTAACTGCTTCGCAAGCATTAGTCAACTCCATCTTCACAGGAACTCTCCTCTCACAGCTGAGGATAACAGAGGCTCCGAGCGCAATAAATGGTTTGGTTGGAAGCTTGGTAGACATGTAAGTGAAAAACAGTATTTTAAAACCAAAGTCTGTCCCCGCTCAGTGGTTGAGCGTCGACCTAGGAACCAGGAGGTCAGGGCACATGCCCGGGTTGCAAGCTCGATCCCCAGTGTGGGGTGTGCAGAAGGCAGCCCATCAATGATTCCCTCTCATCATGGATGTTTCTCTGCCTCTCCCATCCTCTCTGAAATCAATAAAAATATATTTTTAAAAAAGAGAAAAATAAAACCAAGGTCTGCCTCATTCATCCACTCCCTTGTCTGCCTCCTAAATGAGCAAACATTGCAAGATGCGGCCGTTCATACACTTTATACTCAGACTTCCCTGGAATCGTTTGGATTAACATCTGTCTGTAGGTGGCAGGACACGGGGTGTTCATTTTTATTTCAAATCAGAAAGCTGTGTCCCAGCTCAGATGACAGGGGTTGTAGATGAAGGAGCAGAAGTCCAGATAGGGCACGAGGTTTGCGCAGGAGGACGACACAGAGCAAGCCTCCGGGAATCTGCCAGCGTGGGTCTCTCTGCGTGAACGTAGATATGCCTGAGACTGTGTCCAGGCTTCCTATTCTATTCCATTGTTCTGTTTCTCCATTCTTTTGCCAGAATTACACTTACGTAATCGCTGGTGCTGTACAGGTTTACGAGGTTTGCGCAGGAGGACGACACAGAGCAAGGCTCCGGGAATCTGCCAGCGTGGGTCTCTGTGTGAACGTAGATATGTCTGAGACTGTGTCCAGGCTTCCTGTTCTATTCCATTGGTCTGTTTCTCCATTCTTTTGCCAGAATTACACTTTCGTAATCGCTGGTGCTGTACAGGTTTCAGTACCGAGTGGAGCAAGTCTGTTACTGGCCCCTTAGATTTCCACGTTTTTCCATGTATTCTTAGATATTTTATATTCGGATGTTAGTGTAGACTATAACTTAATTTTTTTTCCTTTTTCTAAATGTTTGCTCTTTTTTTTTTTTTTTTTAATCCTCACCCCGACGACTTGCTTAGAAAGAGAAACATCAATCAGTTGCCTTCCTAACGGACCCCTTCCCCGCCTCAAACCAGGTACCTAACCCAGACCTGTCTGTGCTCTGACCGGGAATGGAACCAGCAACTTTTCGGTGCAAAGGACAATGCTCAAGGAACTGAGTCACTCTGGCCCGGCTTTAAATGTTTACTCTTGGTGTTTAGAAACACAAGAGAGATTTTCAGACTGACTTTATATTGCCCAACTCATTGTTGATTCTAGAAATTTATCTGAAGACTCTTTTGGATTTTCTTTGCACACAATCAAACTATCTGTGAATGAGACTTGCCCTCCCTTTTTTTATACCTATTTTCCCCCCCAGTAGGATGTTTCATAGAGCTGGTGACTCAGGCATCCCTCTTGCCTT